GAGTGAACATCTTAAACCATTTATTTTTTTTACAACATATACAAATACAAGTTTATTCTTCAAGTCAGCAGAGAGAAAATAGTCCAGGTGGAAAAATCACTTTTAAAATTGTTCATTTTACATAGTTTCCAAACAATGTAAAGACTGGCACATAGTGATGTTGCATTGTCAGAATACTTTGACATGCTCTAAGAGGCAGAGGAAGACAACTGTACCAACTAAGTCATTCTGAAATAACCTATACTTATATTGGAGCAAAATCTATTTACTGCTATTTATTTGTGTTTAATTTGCTAACTCTGTCAAATGTCTATCACTATTGAAGTTACAAAATACTTAATCACAGACAGGAGGAAAAATACCACCATTGTTACATTTAGTGGGCTACCCTAAAAGTAAACTGAGTTTAATAGTGGACTAGTAACGGCCAGTGAATAAAACCCAAATGTTAGCTGAAGCACAACAGCCAGTTCAGTTGCAGAAGCTGCAGACTCAACCTTTCACTGAAATGTAAAGCTACCAGCAAGTTCTTTTTGAAAGACAAACTATGACTGTAAGAGAATGTGTTCTTGAAATATTTAGATATTTCCATGTTAAAGTCTTTAATTCTTGAAAGCATGTGATTTCTAAAAGCAGATGGCTTTCTAAAGATGGCTATTGAGATACTTTGTCTATTAATATTTGTAGTAATAACAATAATGTGACTAGGTTTTAAAAATGAAAACTGAGAAAGTATTTTTTATTCTTCTAACTGCTAAACTTGGGATCAGTAAAACACACCAGGAAGCCTTGAGGAGGTAGGAAGTACCTCCTGGTGTGCCCCAGCTCCTGCAAACTGAGTTCTACTGCAGCTGGGCCAGGGTCCATGGCTGCCCAACTTCTGTACAGTCACACCATGGCAAGCAGCACATGCTATGCAAGAAAAATAGGTAAAAAAATTAACTGGTTTTAAAACAGTATAGAACAAAATACCGCTGTATTTTTGTCAATAGGCAACAGAGTGTGAGATTTCCACCTGTAAACTGTTCATTGTGAGGCCTGCTACCTCTCAGAGACTGCATGTTTCTGGAAAGTGTTGATTATTTACATTCCTTTCTCTCAAACTTTATCCTGGAAGCTGCTTCCTGTAAATAGTTTGTAACATAAAAAAATGAATGTATTTTCCTAATTGATGTCTTTGCCCAGCCAAAAGCACAAAAAGGGACAAAGTTATTTTGTCAGTCTTGTCATAGGAATGTGTGGGCAGGTATTCCTGCAGAAATCAAATCTGTGGCTAAGCAGAATAAACTTTCCTATTAAAATAACTCAGCATGTGAAATCTGTTTAACTGGGCTTTCACAGAAGTTAACAAAAAAAAAAGAAACAACCAAAAAAACCAAAAACCCAAAACCTGTTTAATGCTTCAAGTGGTGGTGTATTTTTTTGAAGGGAAGGATACTGTATTCCCTTCCAACTTCACCCCAAAATGTACCATGTTTCACCAACAATAGTTCACGCTGCTATTTACCAATACCTAAAACTTGAAATTAAATTATATATTAACAAAAATACTGGAACAGTGTAATTAGCCTTACACAAATCCAGATGTCTGCATGCATATACAGTTGGGGGTTTTTAATGGAAAGCCATATATTTTGCTGTATTTCACTGTGATAAACAGCAGCAAATGCAGCTTTAGACTTTGATTGAGGAGGAAGATACATTAATAAACTATGCCTACACCAAGAAACTTACTGTATTAGCAGAAATAGTACAAAACTACTGTTTTTAAATTGTCACTAGACTTCAGGCTAGTGTTAGACCTGTGTTACACAATGTGACATGGCTAGTGTCCCAAGGGTATTTTGGGGTTTGTTTTGTAGTTTGTGGTTTGTTGTGTTTTGTTTTTTTTTAATCTATGTGACAGAAAACCATTGGTGGATGACAACAGAGGTGTAAGAAAGAACTTTCTATATGTTGAATCTAATGAATCAGCAAGTGTGTCTTCCAGCCTAGTATGATACTATAGGTGGCGTTAAGAATTTTATTTTCAGTGCTGCTGAATATAACACACACACAAAAAAAGGTGAAGCAGATAAGGGGAAACTCTACAGGAAAGTAAGTATTGTTTCTAAAATGCCATAAAAACACCAAAAGAAAAAAAAAAAATCTTAGTGATATGGAATTGCTACTGTGTTGAAACAAAAGACTGAAACTAACATTTAAAAAAAAGTTGGCATTAGTTCAATTGTGCAGTAAGTTGATGTAAGTATTTCCCAGTAATTCCAAAGTAAACTATGGATATAAAATGATAGGTAAGTTGTCACTTCTCACGTTTTACTTGGTGTCAGTCTTAAACTACGTATATGCCATTGAGGCAGGGCAGGGTGAGAGGAGTGGCAATGCGTGAGTGAAGAGGCTGAGCTAGGACATGGTTGGGGTTTTTAATTGGATCATGATAAGCAGTGGGAAGTTCATGGTCTCTGGGAAGATATGCCACAGGGAAATTTGACTTTTTTTTTGTGTTTCTGTAGTGATTTTCCCTGGAAGCTGGAAATGACCTCAAGAGGGCACTTTTTTGCTTTGTTAATGGTTACTTTATAGGAATTTTCTGTAGTGTTTAGTGAAAGACTTCATAGCTTCTGGTGACAGAATGCAGGTTCTGTCTGCTTGTTTATATGGCAATTAATGACTTTGCTGTCTTTCACTTCATTTTCTAATTACTGGGAGGGGGGTGGGGAGGGTGGGGTGTTGTCATAGGACTACTGCCTGTAACTTCCTTCCTTTCATCCTAGCAAAAGTCAACCTCCTTTTAGTTACACTGCTCTTTTATCCTTTGCCTGATGCAGCTTCTCTCTCAGGAGCAGCAGCGTTTTGTGCTCAAGTCCTGAAGCTGATGTGGAATAACAGAGTGCATGAATCACCTCTTGTATTCGTGGATTTCTTGATTTAGTCACACCAGGTAACTGCAATGCTTTGTTTAGGGATTGGTCTAGGGAGACAAAATGTGTGCAAAGCAATTTATTCACCACAGATGCACTTCTTGTGTGAAATGAAAGGGATGACTGATTTCAGCAATTGTATCATTCAGTTGTGCCCCTGTAAGTAGGTATGGATTGTTTTAACTAGCTAAGCACATGAACTCCCATGAAAAAAAAAAAAAAGACACAACCACAACTAACTTAAATATCAAAAGATGAATTCAGCAAACATAAAACTTTACAACAGTGTTTCTATGTAAACAAAAATGTCAAGAGTTATAGTGTAAGCATTCTTTATACTCTCTGGGTTTAACAGACAAGGAAAAAGACATTTCCTGACTGTATAGAAAAATGTACTTTGAATTCAAAATTTTGAAATGTTAATTATATTTTTCAATGCATTGTTACGACTTTGGTCAGGCTTGGGCATTAAATGTCTTGTGCTGAAAAGAAACCACCAGAAAAGTCCAAACATTTTTTCCTCTAAATCCAGAGAGAGGTAAAAATTCTGCATTTTCTAAAAAGTAGTATATGATAAATATATTATACAATAACAATAGCATGTACTTTGGAACATGTTAATAAATATTCTTTCTTTAAACACAAGCCTTGAAAACTAGAATTTATAAGAAGAAAATGTTGTTCCTTGTCAAAGTATCACTACCAGTTAGGTGTACTTAGCTATTGTACATTATTTTGTTAAAGTAGATAAACCATAAATAATTTGAGTGTTTTGT